ATTTTGTGAGATGTACTTCAGAAAGAATGTATGTGTAAGTATTTATATGCATGGTATATTCACAATAAGTTATTTAAAAAAGCTATTTGTCCTTAGCAGAAATTTACCAGTGTAGTCTATGTGAAGGCAGGTATAGCATTAGAGAAATGTAATAACTATACAGAAAAGACAAGAGGGCGTTCAGAAGGAAATTATCTGTAGTCTTTATTATGAAGTGTCTATCAAGACAGATGCCCAAAGTACATGGAAGAGAAGTGGGGAGGATCCATGATGGATGGGAAAGAATAGGGCTTCATTCTGCATATGGAAATCACCAGTGAGAAGGTAGTTCTGGATCTGTACCTGTTAGAATATACCCACTGAAGGGAGCAAAAACTCCTATAGGACATTTCAGAATGAAATAGCCTCAGTTATCTGTTCTGTTGTAGAATTATATGTCACTCTTCAATTTTTTTGGATCTCCATCTTTAACCAGACAAAGGAATCCATAGCTAGAATATGTTGAAGTTCTTCACTTCCTCCCATTTTATTCCTTGCTCCCTCTCTCCCTCCTTCCCTTCCTCTATCCCTCCCTCCATCCCTCCCTCTCTTCCAATATAAAAAGGCCCAGGAATACCACGTGTATCTCAAAGACTCAGATGATATATGAACATTTTCTAATCTCAAGACAAAAAGAATTCTGTCTTTTGTTAGGAGCTTACAAATCGTCATTCTCTATATAGTATGCATTTTATTTTTAAATGAATATTAGTAGCCCTTCTTTGGATTTCTTCATTTTCTAGTTGCCACCAGCAGCTGGAAGATGTTTTCTTTATTTGCATAGAAAATACAGCATTTTTCTCTTGTGCAAAGCTCTGTGGTGAGAAAAGGGGAAAATAGATGTTTTGCATGATGTTTTCTTGAGTAAAAGGCTTTCCATTTAGCATATTTTAAAATCAGAGTTTAGAATGTGTTCCAAATAAAGTTGACATCTAATGCATATTGTTTATTTTACATGCTTCCCAGTGTCTTGGGAAAGAGAAGTGCTACTTGGTTTCCTTAATAAGATTTTCATTTTAGTTTTCTCTGATAGGATTATATTGCCTTGATAGTAAATATTGAAAGTTTCTAGTTCATATTTTCTTGCTCTCTCTCCCCTTGGAGGTACAGTGGCAGTAAAAAGAATGAAAGAATGAATTAAAGCGAAATGAATTATTTTCTACTTATCTGACATATACTGTGATTCATTCTGTATAAAATTGCCAATGGGTAGTTACAGGACTGTTCTACTTAAGGGTTTTATAGAGCTGAGTCAGCGAGACTGAATTAATGATTGATTTCTAAAAGCTTCCCTTAAGTAAACTTAATCTATTTTTGCCTTTTTATATCCTAGGTACCCAAACCAGTAGATTATTCCTGCCAACCCTGGTAAGTATTAAAAATGTTTATGTAGCCAAGTTGAAATACCATACCCCTAGCTTGGGGACACCTTAAATAGGGTTGTTGTAAACCATGTTCCATTTTCATTCATCCTGCTAAAGGTGTTTTCACATGTAACAAAACATCAAAATGAATTCACATATTGCTGATCTTTCCATAGCTTTATCAGAGAGTAGTGGTATGCAAGTGCGTGTGTGTGCATGCTGAATGCACTTAACAGTAAATTAAGAGTTTATAACTGCCTTATACAAAGGCAAATAATGTATCTTGTATCTTGGAAAGATAGATTTCACTAAGTAGATAGAAAAAAATGGTTCTTTGAAACTAAGAATTAGCTCAAAAAGGATAACAGAGTCTGAAATTTGCTACATGTGAAATGGAAGGAGTGAGATGCATTCATGACTGTTTCGGGTCAAAATGGATCATGCACCACTTGGAGACTGGCAGTATAATGGAACCAAGGATGTGAGAGGACAGTGATTATTATTTTAGATATTTTCAATTATAAGAAATATAGTTAGGATCCCAAATAGGATCATCAGAAAATCATAAGAACACATGTATTCTGAGTACTTACTGTGCGCTTCATACTTTATATGTTTTCATTTTGTTTTTCTCCCTCTCCTCCCCACCCCCTCGATACCTGGCAGAAGCTATTTTGCCCTTATTTCTAATTTTGTTGAAGAGAGAGTATAAGCAATAATAGGAAGGACCAAAGGTTTTTGCTAGTTGAGATAAGGATAGCAAATACAGCTGGTTAGAGTAGCATTATTCTTGATACAAATCAAGATGTCAGACAAATGAAGAGCCTTAAAAATAGGAAGTTATAAAAATATTTCACCATAGAATTTTAAAGTTACCTTTTCCCCCTTAAACAACCCAGACAGTTTGTTTAAACTAAGCAAGAAGTTTTATGTGAAATGTCTTCTGCTAGGGAAGAAAGTGATCCACTGCACCAGAAAAATGGAAACTTCAATTTTAGAAATATTAAACTGTTTTTAAAAATTATGCTGAATGATAGCATGGTCTTTCTAGAGCCACTGAGAAGTTGAGTACCACCAACTTTATCTAATCTGGTCATTATTTCCACAATCAAAGCAGATTCTTCCCATAAGTAAATATTATCTCATATAGACCATGAGACATAAATAGAAACCCATGGTGACTCTCTTCAGTAAGCTATGTCTTGGGGGTGTTGAAAGGCAGGGATGAGTTATTTGAAAACTATGTGTAGAATAGTTGGTAAACATTAAGATCCATTTCCATTCTCCTAGTAGTCAGGCAACTTTCTTTTTTCTACCTTCACAGGGAACACTGTGGTTATATGAAAATTTATATGGAAAATTTGAAAGATACCGGGCCTGGACTTGGGAAGACCAGGTCTAACAGAGGTTAGAAAGATGCCATACTGGAAACAGGGTTTAAATGAAGGAAAGTCTATATACTGAAAGATAATGATTCTCAGCTCCTTGACATAGCTCAGGTCCATCACTGTGGCAGCCTCTCTCACGTGCAGTACCCTTTCCTTATGTCCAGATAAGAATTTTCAGAACTTTTCTCTAAAGAAACTAAACTCAAAGCAAAAAAAAAAAAAAAAAAAAATCTAAACTCCTAACATTTGGATGTTACTCATCCCAGTCATCATTTTTTTGCAAATGATCAAGCAGGCCTCCTGCCCAGTGGGCCAGCTTTAGAATCCATGCACAGGGCCTTCCATCAGTTCTTGAAAGCCTCTTTCTTAAAAATGAACAAACAATAAAGAGAAAACTAGACTTTTGAGGAAAGCCTTGAACTATAGAACAAACAGAAAAAAAGGGGCTTGAAGAAAATAGACATTAGAGTGAGAAGGGTATTCTTTCAAGCCTTCTGTTTACATCTTCAAAATTAAGAGGACCCATCACATTGATGGGCGTGACCTGGGTGTTTTTAAGAAGAATTGGAGAATAAGAAAAAGCTCTTATAAATTGTGTGGAAGGTTTAATACATGAACCTGAGGAAATCATTCCAAAAAGTTAAAGAGATATGTTAGGGGAGAAAAGATAGGAAGATTAGACTATTTACCTAGAAAGAACAGCACTCAACTAGTGAGAACTCCAGAAAAAGAAAACTATCAAGTATCAAAGAACTCATACAACACGTGCCTTCAAATTGGAGATGCTACTGAAAGCTCAAGACGACATAAGAAAGACTCTATTCATGAAATTTTTCAATACAGAGGCTACAGAAAGAACCCGAAAGTTTCCAATCAGACAATGGAGCCATGCATCAATATTTGAGATGCAAAATGATTTCTCACCTAGAACTCTATACCCAGCCAAACTATAAGTGTTGGGTAAAATGAAATATTTTCATAAATTTGGGCATGTTTCCAGAAAATAGTATAACCTACAAAGAGACCCTAAAGAAGCCTGATGAATTCCTGAATCCCAAAGATGGTTGCAGATTAGAGATGAAAGAGGGTTGAAAGGGATAAGGCTGGAGAGGCAGACATGAGGCAGATCAGACCACATTCTAGTAGTCATGGGTTATTGTAACTGGTTTTGTTTTGTTTTTTTTTTTCAAGTGATACTGGGGATTGAACTCTGGGGCTCACTCCTGCTAGGCAAGCATTCTACCACTTGAGCCATTTTTTAGTCTGTTTTCCAGATAGAGTCTCAGGCTTTTGCCCAGGCCAGCCTCAGTCTGTGATCTTCCTACTCCCATCTCCTGAATAGCTGGGATTACAGGCATGTACCACCACTCCTGGCCTGTTTTTTGACATAGTATCCTGCTAACATTTGCCCAGACTGGCCTTGAACTGTGACCTTACTATCTCTGCCTCCTGAGTAGCTGGACATAACTATTCTTTTTAATCCAAAGTACCATCAGCATAAAATACCTTTAGCTCCCCTTTTTAACTTGATAGAAACATGACATTCCCTACCCCAATAAATTTTCTCAGAATGTCTACTATGTACTTTTAAGATAATAATTAGAATAGACTAGAGGTGGATGTTTATACTCAGTACACACATCTACATGTGAATCAGATAATTTTCTGAAATATTAATTCATGAGAAGCTTTGAAAGAGAACCAACCCACATAATTTTATTTCCTTTAAACTTCCATTGCCCCAAATATCTGATATAGTTTGCCAATAAATGTTACAGCTATATTTGGTGTGAGAAGACAGTCAAGAAAAATGTAACAGCCAGGCATCAGTAGTTCACACTTGTAATCCTAGCTACTTGGGAGGCTGAGATCGGGAAGATCACAGTTTGAGGCCAGCCTGGGCAGATAGTTCTAGAGAACCTATCTCCAAAATAACCACAGCAAAATGGACTGGAGGTGTGGCTCAAGCAGTAGAGTGCAGCTTTGCAAGCTCAAAGCCCTGAGTTCAAACCCCAGTACCTCAGTCCTAACATCAACAACAAAAAATAATTTAACATTGAATTTGGACCTTGTATTGAGATAGTTGTTATTATTATTATTATTGAACTTGGGTGTTTTACGCTCCACATAGTCTAGGAAGAATAGAATTGTGGTTTTAAAAAGTATCTTTTAAAATAAATTGTTTTCGCTACTCCTAATTTCTTTAGGAAAATTGGTTATCAAAATTGTGGATTAAAAGAATCTTACATCCAAATAATAGTTAATTTTTGAAAACACTAAATTTAAATAAAAACTCACTAGAACCTTTTTTAAAAAAGATGTTCAAAGGAGATTTCATAGGATATGTAGACAAAGGTAAAGTGTGTGTATGTGTGTCTGTCTATTTTTATGTGTATCTTAGCAGGGCAAATTCCTCCCACAAGTCTTTTTCCTACTTCTTTCTAAATACCCCACAACTATCTTAACTGTCTTTCTGATCGAATACCGACTGGCTCCTCCTTTTGGTGTGTTTGTTTATTTGGTAAGTATTTTCTGGGTATTTACTGTGTATTAGACACTGTTCCCTTTCTACTGTTAACATTGAGGCACATTTGTGTTTGGACATATTAAGGGACTTTTCCTTGAATAATTATTTAATGCAGTGCATCTAGTTAGTATGTAAGTAAAAGCAGCTCAGATCTGTCGCTAAGTGAGAAGCATGACAGATGCATATTTTTAGATTCTGTTCTCCTTCAGGTGCGTTAATCCAAATGTTCTGTGCTATTGCTTCTTACAGGTATGCTGGAGCGATGGAGAGGTTGCAGGCAGAAACTGAACTTATTAACAGGGTAAATAGTACTTACCTTGTGAGGCACAGGACCAAAGAGTCAGGAGAATATGCAATTAGCATTAAGTAAGTAGGAGAAGTACTTTTACAAAAATAGATTTCCTGTTTCCATAATTGCATAGACTATCTGACAGGTATAGCACTGAAGTTGAAAAGCAGAGTTCTAACTGCAAGAGAAATAATACATGTATCCAGACAGTTCATTAATACTTGAAAGTATCTACTAGAAAAACAGCAATATGTGTTACAGACTGCTAATTGGCATATTAGATATCTTTCATAACATTATATTTTGTTGAGTTGATGTCTATATATTCCTAGTAAGTTCTAAAAGTATAAATACTAGATTTGTCTTATTTTTATTCATTCTCAAACTGAACATACTAAGTAAATTAAGCATAATAATTAGAAAAATCCAATACCCCTTTCACTTCAAATATTGGTTGTATCTTCAACCAATCTAGTAAATATAGTTTGTTAATTAGCTGTCACGATTGTATTGGCATAAGTATATATTTTGTCTTCAGAATTAATTCCTATAATGTTATTGGAGCATGCCCTCTGGTAATTATTGATTTCTACTGATTAAAAACACATTTATATTCATAAGTTATTCATTGCCCACAGGTACAATAATGAAGCAAAGCACATCAAGATTTTAACAAGAGATGGCTTTTTCCACATTGCAGAAAATAGAAAATTTAAAAGTTTAATGGTAAGCATTGATTATTTATTTTCAATCTATGATCCCTATTTTTTTTCTGTGATTAGAAAGGTCACTTTAATTCTATGGTTTCTTAGAAATTTTACCCACTGAAAAATTATTTAAAGAGAATCACAGTGTAATTTTATAGCATCATCATAAAACTTCCAACTTTTCCCAATTAAGTTTTATATTGCTCAAATCAAGTTTTTCATTATAAACTGGGTTTGCAAGTTCTAGATAATATTTTAGAGTCTAAACTATTTATGACTGTCAGACCAAGGACAAATGAAGTTGTTAACTTTCAATTATTTGTGTGGATTTTGACTTGTGTGAATGACATATGGCAAATTTTTAATATGCCTTTCTTTCCCCTTCTCCCTTCCTTTGTCTGTTTCCTTATTCAGCTTTAGGACAAGGTATACAATATGACACAAAGAGTTGTAATCAATAAAATACTTCTTACATTTAGGTTCATTTTATAGAAAATACATTATAAAGTCAAACTGAGAAGGTTTTTGTATTTTCTGCTATTGTACATGTTTGCAAAACAGTTCTTTCTTTACCTTGGATAATTAAGATTTCATAAGTTACGATTTTTGTCACACAACAGTCAGTATTTCATAGGAATTTTATATTTTACATGGTCAGATTGTGGGGATTCATTCCCACAATTTAAAAACTTTTAAAATTTAATAATTTTATTAGCCTATAAGAATATTGTGTATATATATTATAAAAAGAATGCATGCATACAAATATATATGCATTTGTAACAGGAAAGAAAATTTCCTGTTTTCTTAAAAATGGTTTCAAATCTGTGTTTCAAGCGTGGTAGTTTCATGAGATGATGAAAGATTTGGATAGATAACATAAGGTGTATTTTGTGACTGCTAAGCACTTTGAGTAGCATTGAGAAGGACCACTCATCAATTGAACCATTGGTCAAATGATACATGCTGCATCTTATCAAATGTCCCAAACCACTTTACAGATGTTACTATTGAAGTGTAGGAGAGTATTACAAAATAAGCCAGCTTGAATTCCTTACCTAATAATTTAGAGCTGCTTCAAGACAGCCAACCGTGAGTGAAAGAAATGGAAGCATCTTGAGTTGAAAGTAAAGGAAAAAAAATCTCTGTGGACAAATTCCCCATTTCAAATTAAAAGCTAAAGATGGGTAGCATGACCATGTCCTGGAAAATGTAGAGTCTGTCAGATCGGTAACCAAGGTCCAGGCCTCCTTCCTACTGGAAGTGAGTTCTGTTTGGTTGTGACAAGCAGGCTGTGCAGAGAGGGAACTGGACCAGAGGTGGTTCTTCAGAAAAGGAAAACCTAGGAGGGAGGTGGCAAGTCGATGTACAAATAATGAATGACAGGCGCGGCTGGGACTGGATGGAAGGATGCACAGGGCTCTCCACATCTCTACAAGACCTCCTGCCATTTGAGATTTCACCTGTAGAACCTCCTTGGACAGTAACGAGGCTGCTCCATGGCATTATAGTTAATATGGCACTTAAGGCATTATAGTTAATATGGCACTTAAAAAAATGCAGGACCAAAGAAAACTGCCAGCCTTTGAGAGTAGAGAAAGGAACTCCCATCAGAGGAGGCAAGTGCAGAGGATGAAAGAAATGACCACTGGAAAGGGCTGATCAGTTCAGCAGTGTGTCACCTTCCTTCAGCTCAAGGAAGTTCTTCTGCAGTGAAGGTGAGATGGCAACAGCTGGTGACACCCTGGTGACTGGCTGGATGACATAGATCCTTGAGTTCATATCTGTGTGTAAAACTGTGACTACAGTAGAAGCAGCAGACTCAGATAATTTGTAGCAGAGAACATTAAAATATCTGCATTGATGTTCTAGAAAAAGAATAAAAAGTTCTTGTCTCAGGTTTCAAATAAGACATGCTTATAAGTATATGGAAAGTCTCAGACATGCCATTGTTAGAGACATCTCCCCATCTTTTGTGGGCAAGCAGGTACCACAGTGGGTTCAAAGGAAGAGATTAAGAATTAACAGAAAAACTACAGTAAAACCAAAAAAAAAAAAAAAAAAACAGCACAAAGATATAATTGCAAATGAAAGGAAGAAAGAGGACAAGGAGCTTTAAAAAAATATCAGTGCAAGTGAAGTAGTCTTTTTTTTTTTTTTTGTATGGTTTAACAAACAACTAGGGAAATTGATGAAGAGGCCACTGAACTAGTCTGGAGCTATCCCTTCTTTTTGTTTCCATTTATTTGTTAAGCAAATGAACTATGTTTTTGTAGACTTCAAAAAGGACTCCACTAATGTAAGAAAGCTTACAAATTAGGTGTGTCAAGTACCTCACAGAAATGCTGTCCTTTGAACCTAAACTAAGAAATGCCACGTGGTCAGAGGGGTGGTTTGTATTTCAGTAACCAGTGGCTTTGGCAGAGGAGAGAAGGTTAGGAGGTATAGGGGCTTCTTAAAATCAGGATCATACACCCTCTAGGAGATCCCCCTCATTGTGTTGGTGTCAGATTGCACAGTTCCCATCACAAGTAAGGTGGTGTATGGATTCCAGTTGTTGAAGAATAATTCAATATCCCACTCCCATCGGTATTTAAGTTCTTTTGTTCTACTTATGAATCATAATAGGGTCTATGATGAAACTTTTATCTGGAAAGGATATAAAACACAAACCGTGGAGCTTATTTTAAATTAGCCAGTTTCTCACAGAGAAGGTTGGCCTTACTTAGGTGGTTGGGACCAAACCTTCTTCCCTTGGGTATCTATAGCTTGGTTAATCAAAATCTTTGTTTTTCTTAGTCATTAAATTCAAATCCGAAATGAATTTCTGATTCCAGATTACAAGGCATTAATTTTGTTCTAATTTTCATGCATGCCAGACAACGCAGGTCCAAATGCTGCTTGTAAACCATCTCCATCACCGGTTTCCTTGGTAATTGGAATGACTGGCTCGAGCTCATTATTTTTCAGAGACTTGAATTGTTGACACTGTTGTGTAGGTGTGAGATAAGGAAAGCCTGGCGATTTCTTTTGTTTGGAGTCCTCTTATTTACTTGTTGTACCTGAAGGTCAATGACTACTAAAGCAGGGGTGGATTAAACTAAAATGCAGCAAGCAGAAAGCCATAAATTGGAAAAGATCCATGGTGTCACGGCTTCATTCTACTCAGAAACATGCTAGGAAGATTTACCCTCATAAGACTATAAAAAATGGAACTAAAATATTTCCAATTCTACTGAAGTTTTAAAGAATATTTTGCAAGTTTACTAAGCTGCATGATCCTAGACCTTGGAAGAGTAGTTTGTTTTTTGTTTGTTTTCTGTAAGAATTTTTGGGTAGTGATGAGTATTAAATGATTGCTAAACCTTCTTCAATACAATAATTCTATAGTTTCTAATCAACTTCAATAGGTGTTAATTAGTAGTAATTTATAACAAAATTCAGAAAGTTCATATTAACAAATAAATGTATTGAAATTAAACTGAAGTTCAAAACCTGTCCAGTATATTTTCATATCTCTGAAGAAAACAACATATTTTATTCTATTTATTTAAAAAATTTTTTTATTATTGTTGTACTGGGGGTACATTATGACTTTTAGCAAAGTTCTCATGGTGTATCACAGATGAATTCACCCCTACGTTACTCAATTTAAATGTTAAGACTAAAAGAGCAACTCTTTGACATAATTTGCATCAGAAATACAATGTGTACTTATACAGTTCTTCTAGAGAACTTAAAGAGTTTGCTTTTCTTTTAAAAAAAAATTAGTGACAGTATTGATCCCTAAGTAGAAGCTACCTCCTGACAAGCCTTTGCAAACTCTGTTAAAATCACCATAATACAAATGCCATATTCTGGTTGTTGAGGCCATTTCAAAGACAAAAACTTCTATCTGTTGTTTCATTTCTTTTTCTCTGCTTTAAAGGTTGGTCAGATTCCACATTCCTTTGTTTCATCAAGCACTTCCCAATATCTGGGATCAAGGAAGGAATAAAGGAAGAAATATTTTTTAAAAGTTATAGATACAATTTGTGTAAGACCCTGGGATCTTAAGTCTAAGAAAACACAGTTCCTGGCAAATCATGATGTTAAGAAAATAGTTCTTCCCTTTGGCTCCATTTGGGTTTTTTTGTGTGCTTACATTTTCATGAACTATTTGCTATGAATGTGATGTAATCAGAAACACTAACTTCAGAGACAGACACCAGCAATAGGACTAAAAGAAATCTCACCGAGATCCGAGCTTCAATGGGAACACAGCCCATCTCGTGAGTTTCTTGAGCAAGGATTATAACAAACTATGTAAAGGCTGGCTACATGGTACAATGGCAGCTGCCACAATTAACACATGCATCAGGCACTTTATTGTATTCTGTGAAATGGTTTGTTCCTGCATTTTATAGCAATGGGAATTGAAAAAAATTCTAGCACCTTTATGTCTGTCCCAGCCTGGCTACCCCACCTAAAATGATTCTTCCTGCATTCCTGGCTGTTGAAATTTTACCTGGTCTTCAATTTCAGCCCAGCCGCCTCCATCCTGAAACTTTCTTTCAAGCCCCTCAATGAACACTCAGTGCCTTTGAACTTCCACAATCCTTCTCTTCCCCATCTAGGATGAGAACTCCTAGAGACAGGAGCCTCTTCTTCACAAGCTTTGTGACCCCTGATGCTCCCAGAACAGTGCATTCCAAGTATATCTGAATTTGGTCATAAATGATAAATCATTTTTCTTCTTTCGGGTGGTTTTGGCCTGATTGATTTGCTTTAGGAACTTTGAACATAGCCACTGAATGTATTGACTCAACTGACAATTTGATTTTTAGAAGAAATAAGTTGATCCACTCTTTTTTTAGAGGTACTATGATAGAAACACTGCATAATTAGGTTAAAGGAGAGTTCACTTTTATTTTCATTTCAAGTATTTATGAGAAACTAATCCTAGTACTCACCTAATGATAAGATGCATTTTTTTCCATTATCAATGACTATTCAATCTTAGTTTACAGAAGAGGGATTCAGATTTGCATGGAAACCAACAGGTTTAGTTAAAAGATGGTGGGTGATTATGACACTGGCTTACAGGTATTTAAGGCAAATTATTTATAAGCAAAAATTGGAAGAGGCTATGTTATTGACCTCTTTATGAGTACCAGGTGATAGAACTAAAACGAAACACCAACCCTTCATGGTTATAAACCAGAAACAATATTGAATGGCATTTGAGTTTTATCTACTTTTGTTTACCATGGAAAAGTACATTTAGTGTCAAGTGTGTTTTTCTGCTATGCTGAAAGAAAATGCAGGAAACTAGAAATTGCAATATATTAAGCAGCCAGCTGTTCCTGTTATTTTGTTTAGAAAGGCAAGAATTTCACACATAACAACAATAATTACTACTTTGAAATTGAGGTTTAGTATGGCTTCTTTTTATTTACCACATCTGACTGAAGGCTAACAGGATGTTCTATATTCATAAAGAACAATAGAGGGAAACTCAAGTTATAAATGCCCTGAGTAACAAAGACATCTTCCAGGTAGGTGTCATGTACTTCCCAGGAAGCAGGGAGAGGTTATCATTTACTTACTCTTACATTTGGAATATTGAGCATCAAATTGATCATCCTTTTATTGTATGTAATTATGTGTTGAGTTGATGTGTATGAGAACAAAAGTGTCTTTACCAAATACTGTCTTTGGTTCTTTTTCCTAAAGGAACTTGTAGAGTACTACAAGCATCATTCTCTTAAAGAAGGGTTCAGAACCTTAGACACAACTCTCCAGTTTCCATACAAGGAGCCAGAACATTCAGCTGGCCAGAGGGGCAATAGAACAGGCAACAGCTGTGAGTATTGTCATTGAGACTACTACTTGCTGCCACTTAAGTGTTGCAGGCAAAACAGTTACATTAAAATGCCGTCATTTGAAACTTTGAAATATAACCAATTAATATGCTAATGCCCTGCTAGGGACTTTTTTTTCTGGAGCTAAACAGAAGCAGAGTTACCAACAGGTTAATGAACGTGTCTACTTATGGCGTTAAAAATTGTGTTTGCGCTAAACTATCCATCAGAAATGCAAAAGGTATGTTAATATGCTGTTTTGTACTTTCCACTGAGTTTTATATTAGCCAAACTCTGTAATTTTCACATAATGTCTGTGGTTGCAATGTGTCTGAGTAATAGTATCTAACAGAGCTCTACCAGTTAGCCCACTATTCTAAGTCGGCTTAAGTTCCTGTTTCAATGACTATTTTCAGAATTTTGAAGGGACTAACATTGTCTCAAATGAAAATATTTCTAAACTTATATATTCACCACTTCCTTGCAGTATGGTCATTGTGCCACACTAATCACAAAAGATGAATGTGCACATGTGAGAAAATCACATCATAGTTTGGGTGTGAGTCCAAGTCAAAAACCTTTTTTCTCACCATTTAATGTTACATAATCTTCCTGGAGACAGATACAGTGTGTAAAGAGAACATTGTGATAAAAACTCTAGCAAAGAAAGGGTGCTTTAATTCCCTTGTTTTGTTACCTTTTTTTTCCTTTTAATGAATCTGTTTTGCAGAAGAAATGAAAACAGTTTTATTGCTCTTAGAGTCTTTAGCCTAAGCAAAATTGGAAGGTGTAGAGGTATTTGAAATAAAGAATTTGCATTAGTTTAATAGAACTTGCACTTTCCTCCCCCCACTAAAATCAGTTAGTAAAAGGGAAGCAGGTAATGCTCAGGAGTCCAACAATATCAGTAAAACTCCACACATTTCAGTAAAAGTAAGTATGCAAGGAATTTGTCACATCAACTGACAGTTTTTTTTTTAATTTGAGTAGCTTCATAGCTGTTCTCCTCACAGTGATCAGTAACATATGCTCATCCAGTACAATGAAAGTAGTAAGAATAAATTTTATGTAGAACATTTAAGTACCTTGAAATTTTTATCTTTCAATTTTTTTAGACCAATATTACCCAGTTATCTAAGATTCTCATTTAGGTCATAGTTTTTGCTCATTCAAAAATAGATGTTTTCCCTAAAAAGTACCTTTCGTGCAAATGTCTTTATGGTCTTAACAAAGTTATGACTCCTCCCCTCTCTACATGAAATATTTTTGTACATGTTTCAACATTTTTTTTCTGTGCTTTCTTGACAGAAGGACATAATACAGGTTGCTGAGGTAATTTATACCAAAAATCCTGTTTCATTCACTTAGTTCTAGACAGATGTCCCGTATTGGGTAGGAAGGTGGTTAACCCTTGTATTTCACTGTTTGCTTTACCAAGCACTTCCTCAGTGCTCTGCACAAGTAGGTGTTCAGAGAATGTTGTCCAGTAACAAATGAAGTTGCCTGATTAAAATTTTTGTCTCTGGTGTTTAATGAAATATATATTATTCAAACTTGTTAGGAATTAGGAAGGCAATAGCAAACTCCCCCTTTAAAAAATCATAACTAATGAAATGATTGTAGGTTTTTCAACAGAGTCATGAATTCATATATCCCTACCCAATCTTTGTAAGAGACTCTGGCAACTTACATCAAACCGACAAAACCCTTTCATAATGAAAAAGAGAAGGAAATCTTTCATTTAAAATTATATAAATAAAACACCTAACTCAGTCAAGGTACTGTTGTCCTGAGATAGAGCAGTTTGAAAGAGCTTACATTTTAATAGGGAGACTCAGACAACTCTAGGTTGGAGGAGTTTGATATTTTTACATAAGTGATCAGGAAGGTATCACTAAAAGAAGGGAATATACTAATATGTCATTCAGCAATAATAATAATCCCAAATAGTATTGCGTAGGGATACAGGTTTGGACAGAATCCTGACATTCTCTATTAGTTCTCAAAAGCCTTATAGAATTCAGAGCAGGTGAGCTAAAGCCCAGATTCATCCTGTGTCTATGTAGAGGTTGGGAAAAGAACTCCACTCCTAAGACCAGCTGCCTATTGCTTGTACTATTTTTAAATCATATAGTCACCTTAGAAAGTAAAATCTCATCACATTTTGCACACTGCTTGCTTCTGGGCTAGTCTAGATTAGAATGTACTAAGGACAATTACCAACTGGTTTTCAAATCTGTAAAAGTGACAATCAGATTGTGGTATAGCTATGTCATGCAAATATAAAATAATGCATTGAAAGATGCTGATTAGAATTAAATAAGTACAGGATATTGGGCTAGGAAAATGGTATTTCTACGCTAGGAGGCAACTCTACACCATCTAGAGGACTGTCTCCTAGGGTGATGGGATTTTTTGCTTTGCCTTTGAAATGAATGACTTGAGTATTTCTCAAGAGGAGAAATGGGGAAGAGAGGAGAGGGAGAGAGAAAAGAAGGAAGAAAAGGAGAGGGATTGGGGAGAAGCATGGGGAAGTGGGGGAGCAGGGGGAGTGGGAGGAAAGAGAACAAAGAAAGAACTTGGGGGTAGGAGTGAGCTGTTTTATTTCCCTAGAAACTGCAGTGACTTTGTTGGAAGATGTTCTGTGGATTTGTGTAAGAATGCCATTATTTTCCACAACAGTCCTAGCAAATCTGCCTTTGAATGCTTTAGGTGTACCTGAAGGGCTTGTATCTTTAAAGGGTGCTAAATTGACTTTTGCCTTTCTTGCTCTCCAGTGAGCAACCGATTATTCTCAGGTCTGCCTCTGAGTAGCTGTGTGACCACAGGCAAGTCACTTTCTGATGAATGAGGAATGAGATTAGATATTTTATTATCTTCTTTGAAGAACAGTATCCTAGGTCTTTCTTTGTATGCATGAGAGAAGGAGGTAAAGTATAATGTTAGTATATCATTACACTAGCAACAATTGCACAATTAGCTATTTTGTGACCCATTAGCAGACCTCAAACGATTCCCCAAGTGTAGATTTATGCATAAGTAATTGGACCACAGAGCAGAGATTTAAAAAGTGGCTATCATGATCTTTATATAATATCCTGCTATCTTCTGTAAAGGCCTATTAATCACAAAAATACAGAGCAGCACCTTGACCACAGTCCAGTCTATTTGACTGGTCTGTTTGACCAGAAATGGTACAAATAGACACCAGGTACTTCCTAATCGAATACTCGGCAGAGTATACCCACCACTCTAGTGGTATTCCTACTCCCAAAATGCATACGCTGAGTCTAATCATGAGGAAACATCAGACAAACAGAAATTGAGGATATTCTACAAATTATCAGCCTGTATTCTTTTTGAATGTCAATGTCATTAAAGACAAAGACTGAGCAAGTATTTCAGATTAAAGGAGACAGAAGAGTTATGACAACTACATGTAATGTGATCCTGGATTGGTTTCTGAGTGGGTATAAAGCATATATAGCAACATGCATGTATTGTGTATAGTTTATATATATATTTGATGTATATATGTGCATATATATGTATATGTCACTACAAAGGATGTAAGCAGGACAATTAACAAATTTTGCCTAAGTTCTCTCTGCTAAATACTAGTATTGTTAGTACAATTTTCTGCTTTCCATAATTGCATTGCGGTTGTATAAGAGAAGAGAATGTCTTTGTTTTTAGGAAACAAACTGGAGTATTCCGTAGCAGTAAAGGAGATTATGTCTGCAATTTATTCTCAGATGGCTCAGGAAAAAAACGTAAATTGATAAAGCAAACATTGTAAAATGTTAATATTTAGGGAGTTAGGGAGTCTGAATAAAGTGTATGGAAATTCTCTGTGCTATTCTTGCTCTTTTTTTTTTAATCTGAATTATTTCAGAGTGAAAAAAAGTATAATGTGGAAATAATCCCATCTGCTGGCTATGTCCAAAGAATTGGAAAACAGCAGAAGCATCCTCGTTTCTCCAGGTGCAGGGGCACTTGGTCAGTTATGTGGGGGCATGGAGAACTTGGCCTGCCCTGAGGAGCTCATAATTAAAGCCTTCTGTTCCTCAGGGTGACCTCATTGCATTTCCTCACTCATTCCTTGATTCAATGGTTACCACGTTTCAGGCTGTGTGCTAGACGCTGGAGTTATAATAGTGAATAAAATACATCTATTTTATTTTGGTGAAGAGAAGCAGACGTGAAGCAAATAACTTCATAGATAACCACAGATTTTGATAAGTTTTATGAAGCACAAATGCAAGAGTATGGAAGGTGGCCTAGTGAACATGTAAAGTCAGAGAAAGACTTTTTGAAGAGATGTCATTCAAGGTGAATTTACAGGATCTTTGTAGTGGGCTGTAGGGAGACTCCACAGTGAAGTAGCTTGTGTTAAGACTCAAACAGGGGTCTGGTAGAGATGAACCAATGTGGGTTGCAATATACAAGTGCATGGAAGCAATGCTAGGAATCTCTCTGTGTAGCTATCTTTATATCTCAAACTAGCAAAAACACTATGTTTTTCTTATTATCTCTCATGTTTTCTCTTCAACAAAATCAGAGAGCAAGAGGGCAGAACAGGTTCTGCCCAGAAGTAGGGGGGGAGGTGTTGCCCAAACAATGTGTACACATGTGAGTAAATGTAAAGACAATACAATAAAAAAAGACTCTCAAACAGGAAAGAGTTTGGTATATTTAAGGAATTGGAAAGGGGTCAATGTGTTTGAAGCACAGTGAGTGGTGGGTTCCAATATTTGTGAATGTGCTGAAGCTTGATAAGCAAAGAATGACATGAACTGATTTGCACTGTTTTCAGGAATCTCTGGCGGTGACTTGGAATGAGGTTAGGGCAGAGAGGAGCTAGGTTGGCAGGCCGTTGCAGATGTCCATGAGAGGGTTAAGAATGGCTTAGTCAAGAGTTGAGTAGTCACAGTGGAGGAGGACAAGGGGCAGATGGGAATGTATTCTAGAAAGCAAATCAATTGATGAAAATTTGAGGTAG